CTCGGCCCTCGCTCCTCCTCCCACGGCCCCCCGTGGAATTTCGAATCTCCTCCACACTATTGGTGCTTTCTCCACCATGGCAGACACAGTTGTGCCTTCGCAACCTTTACCAGAGCTGAAAGCGCGCAATGCCTACGTTTCCTCTCCGAGTGGATTGCGCCCAGCCAAGGAGACCACGTTCCGTGAATGGGTGGTTGCCAACCAGATCGGTATGAAGAAACACCCCAATCCTTGGATTAATATGGAGATACAGGCACGACCCATACCTGACAGAGTCGCTGCGCTCATCCAATCCCCGGGATTTGCGAAATCCCCCACATCCTGATAATACTAGTAACGCTAACACCAATCTGCTTCTCTATAGGAATCTCCTTGACCACCCTGGCTATGTTGCTGGCTCTTCATAACCTCTACCCCTCCCTCCGCCCATATACCCAGCCATTCTTCCAATTGTCCTATTATAACGAATCGTCGAACTCATACGTGCAGGGCTGGGACGATGTCTACTTCGTCATCAGTGCTGCTGTCGCACTCACCGGTATCCGTGCTATCGCCATTGAATGGCTCATGCAGCCACTGGCGCGCGCTTGCGGTTTAAAGCGCAAGCAGTCGATTCGCATCGCTGAGCAGGGTTGGCAAGCTATGTACTATTCGTTCATCTGGGGAGTCGGATTGGTGTGTTTTTGCCCACAAATATTTACCTGGGAATATATAACTAACCGTTGATTCTACATTGCAGTACCTGTGGAAGACGTCATACTATTGGGGCGATTTCGCCGCTATGTGGTCGCAGTGGCCCGCCCGTCCTTTGTCTGGGTTGATGAAGTGGTATCTTCTCGTTGAGCTGGCATTCCTCGTGCAGCAGATCTTCGTGATCCACGTGGAAGAGAGACGGAAGGACCATGTCCAGATGCTTTCCCACCACATTATCACCAGTGCTCTCTTAAGCTCTGCTTACATCTACGCCATGTACAATGTATCCAATGTAGTACTGTGTCTCATGGACATTGTGGACTTCTTGTTACCGGTTCGTCAATCATTCTTCTTCCAAGTGCTCCTAAACAGCCACTAATACCTCCACAGTCTGCGAAGATTCTCAAGTACTCCAAGTTCGAAACAGCCTGCAATGTTGGCTTTGGCCTCTTCATGGGTACATGGTTCATTACCCGACACATCTTCTACCCCATGGTGTGCTGGTCCGTTTATTATGATCTCCCCCACGAACTCACCTATGGCTGTTACACCGGTTCAACAAGCGAGTTCATCTCAGCGGAGGCCCCAAATGCCTTCGCATACATGCTTGGACCATACTTCAGTTTGGACAATCCCATCTGCTTCAACCCTACTCTCAAATGGATATTCTTATCCGTCCTGTTGGTCCTCGAGGGACTGTCCATTGTGTGGTTCAGCATGATTGTCCGTGTTGCCTATGGTGTGATTTGTGGCGGTAACGCCGAAGATACCCGCAGTGACGAGGAAGACGAATACGAAGTGGAAGTGGGAAACCAGACCGCATCCCACGTTCCAGCACATCTGGCTGCTAAGGACGGTGCCCCTACCGACGCACTCGAAACCGGAAACGCTCCTGGCTTGGCTCGTCGGCGGTCCAACGGCACTGCATCAGTGCGCGCGCGGGGTCGTGGTCGTGTTCCTTTCGACCCGAGTGATCGGAAAGCTCTCTTGGGCCGCATTGGATGTGAAAAGCCTACGTAAATTCACGCTTTCCATTTAACATTTTCTTTTGACCAAATTTGATGACTCCCATTTCGAGTTACTCCCTTGCATGCCATGCCTCTGTCCACATACTGTACCATGAACCCCATTTTCTGGGTGACAGTGTCGTATAGCCCACTGGCCGTGCAATAGAGTGCCCGAATTACGATGAACTGCTATTTCCAAGGTTGTTTGCGACACATCGTTTTTCAGTCTGCTTGCCGGGTGTTATATCCACTTTATTTTTTTGTTTTGTTTTCTTCATATTCGTACTCAATGTTGTGTCACGACTTGCCGACTGGCGTCGGGGAGGTTTCCTGATATGATATGCTTTTTGTTGCCGTGGATGATCTCTACGGACTCGCAGTTTCGGTCTAGAGGTCCACCCAATAATACCCAATGAAAGCATTTGGCCTTTTACATGTATCATAGAGCCCTGTCCGATATGGACTTATAGATTTCCCTTGGGGGTGAATACGGAATATAGCGTTGCATAGCCCATCACCTTCCTACCCCAACACCCATTACAGCCCAACTTCGTGGTGATGGACATAGCCCCTCAGCGGCGGATCCTCACTCTCATGATTATATCCATACCACAACACATCAAGCACCCCAACCACATTCGACACAGCCTCCATCCCTAAAAAATCATTCACATCTAAACCAGGTGCAATCGACTCCCCACAAACAGCATCAAGATCAATCCTCTCCAATCGCCCAGGCCCTTCATGAACCAAAGCATCAACAAACAAAGCATACGCCAACGGATGAACCAACATAGCCGAATGCGAATAAGACCCCCCGGCAGCACGCCCCGCACAAGCAACCTGCACCTGCACATTCGACACCCCAACCCCACGCACATCTCCCAACGCCGCAGAAGCCCATTCTCCACTCTGCGGCTGAACAATAACATCATTCCCAGAGTACACGCTGGTCGTCGGCACGAACGCCGAATCCCCATCTTCACCACGCAGAGCCCGAATGAACCTCGTATCATACCCCTGCTGCAGCACAGCGGGCGGACAAACCGATTTAGCAAGCGCACACAGCGTGGCAACAAGCGTCCCATGGAAATCACCACTAACAGCCATGAAATCGCTTACCGCGGCTCGTGTCGACGGCCAGTATTTCAGCGCCCATTGCACGTCCAAGCTACCTTGCGACCAGCTTAGCACTCCGATGGGACGCCGCGAGAGTCCTGATATGTAGTTTATTGCGTATGCGACGTATTCTGCGTTGCTTTGGATGTCGTCTAGTGAATTGCCTGGGATGTTAACCCATACTGGGTCTGTGTGTGGGTTTGCTGTGAACAGCTTCGCGTAGTTGAAGTAGTAGGTGCTTCCGGCTGGGTGGGCGGTTCCTGGGACTAGGAGGACGGGGATTTTGTTGTTTTGGCCGTAAGTGAAGGTTGAAGGGATGTGGATTGCGCTGCGGAGGGTTTCTTCGGGGATGCTGTAAGGTGCATCTCCGAAGGACCTTGTTGGATGGATTGGTGGACTTGGGTCTTTTGTGTTGTTGTTGGCTATGGAGTTTATTTCGTGGTTTGTTATGCCGTTGAGGATGTCGATGATGTTTGTTGGGACTAGACCTAGGGATACTATGTCGATCGCGTGTTCGAGCATTGTTCGGCTGTTGCTGATGTGTGGAAGTGAGGCAAGGACTGAAAGGCCTTCTTCAATTGTTGACACTGGATTGATTTTGCCTGTAGCGATGTCTGTTATCTTGGATTCGAGCTGATATAGCCCTTGATATATGTCCCCGCTGAAGGGAGTGTGACTTATGGATGTATTGAATAACCTGTTAAGGATGACTGGGATATCCTGAGCGTCTTTCGATGTATACGAAGGCACTGGATTGCTGAGTGATGCTGATACAAAGAAAATAAACGAAAACACTTGGTGGAAGCGCATTGTGATGCTTGGCTCCTTTCTAAGGCCGAGTATCTTGTTAGAGTTGGAGCAGTATGTAGTTGTGCACTAGAAATCTCTGAGATGCGCAATGAGAGGAAGAGAACTATCTAAGAACTATATAACTACAACTGCTAAGGCTAATGGTTCTATGAGTGTGGTCCCGAACAGAGTCTAGGGCCTGGTATAAACACCGCTGCAGTGACAATCGGAGTTTTCGATTGTCCCTATGATCTTTTGGTCGAGTGGTTAAATGCTGTTATGGAATCACATAGGCGCAGCGGCTTGAGTCCATCGATGGATTCCCGTTTGGATTACAATGAGAAAGTAATGCCAAGACCGACAATCACTACCTACTTAGGGAATACAATTACCTAGATGGGTTTAGCGTATTCCCCGTGGGACATGTGTATGCATATCGCATTTCACTCCTCATATTTAAGAACATGCAAAAGTAGCCATAATATTATGAATTCTTGATAGATAATGCACGGTGCGCTCTAAAGTGTCGGTGCCATCCCATGCTTCTCATGCTCGGTCGTCCCAATAAGGTCCGAGCACCGGAGTTTCTTATGTCTGCGTACCCCGAGATGAATATAAATCAGCTCGGGGAGGGTTTGTTGTAACCTAATTCTGGAGGATAGGATAGACAGCTAGCACATTCCACACATCCACTGCCCGAGCCACGACCTAAGATGGAAGAAATTACCACCGAAAGAAGCTCATATTCACCGCAAGTGCACCCTACAGCGGAACTCGTTTATGATCTATCAAATTGATTCCATGATGGCCTGGCTGCAACCTTCGATCCCCCGTATCATCGCACCGCATGGCTTGTTGATGTTTCTGGCAGGTCAGAAAACCTAGTGGTACATCAGATTGGAGGCGATTAGCATGAGAGGGTAAACATATTTCTTGAGCTCCGTTGTCTGTCCAGTCGAACAGTACCTTCGTAGATTAGCTGTAACACGCGCGGTTCCGAGTATGTAGGTTAGTTAAAGGCGGGTGTTCAAATGTTGGATACTATTATCGTTTATCATACCGACGACTTTCTTGAGCTGTTCGCAAGTCCTTTGTTGAATGTTGACTTTCTCTTGCCGCTGGGAGAGACTGCCTTCGATTAGAAATCTTAAGTTGAATATTCATTTCCCCAAGGTTACCCCCGAAATATCCTCATACCTCCGACAGTAACGAAGGGTAGGAGTTGTTGTCTGGACTTTTAATGTCGTCTAGACTAGAAAAGATCATAGGACATGTTATCAATTTTGTGGTTTTAGCTTTTCTCAATTTTCTCGTGGCGAATGTGAGCCCACTTGGTTTGTTTATGCAGTTCAACTCAATAAAACAATATATTATATTTTTGAAATTGACTCATCAATCATCCAGGACCATGCAGGCGACTACCATAGACGCGAACATGCCTCCTGTGGGGGTATATAAATCCCGGGGTCTATTTCCAAGATCCCGGCCTCGAGGTTCCAGCTCACAACTTTTATCCCACATGTCTTGTAAATCGACAGCCGATTGCAACTGAGTCGCAAGATATTCCTGCAACTCGGGCACCGGTCGTAAAGCGTAAGGGGCTTCTTTTAAACGCTGAATCTCATGGATGGTTGATGCCAGCATGGTATATTTGTGGAAATTGATGAGCCCTTCTGGTGTCGTAGCTGGGTTCCCATCTTCAATGAATGTCAAATCTTTCAAAAACAAACCTGTTGAATGGTTAATCATCGGCAATTTCAAATGGTGAATGATAGAACTGACCAAGAAATGGAACGCATGGTGCCATTGCAACCCGCAAGGTGTCACGGTAGGCCTGGTAATTGTGTGCACTGGATATCATGGCTTGTAAGGGCCTTAGTGTGTTGCAACTACGTTCGGTAACCATTGCCCAAGTGCGAGCAAGCCGGTAGACGGGTGCGCTTTCCAAGCCTGCCAGGATAGAGACTACCGCGGAGTAATTTTGGAGTTGATGACATGTCTGTAAAAGGTGAAAATTAGCATACAGGAAGACTTACAAGGGTGAAGCTATAGATATTACAACGTACGTTCGCCACATTGACCAAATGCCCTACCACCTGAGTCCTTTTTTTTCAAATCCGATTCTGCGAGTATTAGGGTGCCAACCCAATTAGAGAGCTGATTGGAATACCGAATCGAGGCCCTGATGTTTGGAGCTAGCTCAAGTGCACTGGAGCCCTCTTTCTTTTGCCAGTTTTTGTTTAACAATTCGTCTCGTTGTACTTTGCCAAACATATGTGCCTCCATGATAGTCAGCTGCCGGGCGATCTCCGTGGCATCGATTTTGAGAAACTGGAGTTTGTCTAATTTCCGTGGTAGAATTGGCTTTGGCGGGGTTGAGATGGACGACAGTGATCTTCTCTTGCAATCGAAACCGGCGAGTCGGCGCTGAATGACCGTGAGCAGTTGTTGTGTCGCGCCTGTCTCAGTGGCATCCGTGGCGCGCTTTGCAAATGATTGTAGTATTCGCAAATTCCGATCTGTATCAACTCCGTTTGGCTCAGACCAGAAATGTTCGAGCCACTGCTTCAGAACATTTATCACGCGTAATCGAATGAGTGGCTTTATCCGGGTCGACCATTCTATAGCCTGGGTGGCATTTGATATGGGAGGCGAGCAGTCAAATCGATCGATGAGGAGTTCAAGGAGCTCTGCTCCAGAGGTAAAATGCTTATAAGTGGTGAGGAATATTCGGTTGAAGGAACCGTCGAGCTTGTCGTGGCGCGTCAAATTTTCCACCAGTGCGGCGAGAGTTCCGGCCCTAACAATCTCCACGCTTCCGTTGTACTGACGGACGAGTTTCTCCGGAGGTGTGACGTCGTGGGATCCAGAGTCCCTCCGCTCTTTCTTGTCTGCCTGATCCATCGCGGCGACAAAGCCATGGAAGAGTTAAATCAGCTGTCATTCGAATCACACATCTGCTTGGATTGCTGTGGTCACATGGCATTATGCCTGAACTGCGGTCAAGGGCAAGGCCAAGAGATTGATAGAGTCATTTGAGTATTGGGGTATTCCACTGGACCAGTGTGACATCGAGGCACCCCACTTATAGTAGCTCAGGTTGATTTCTTGTCGTAGGAAAAAACCCCGACCCGTCGTCCGACCTCGGATTGAGTTCGTACAATGAGCAACCGACCATCGGCATTTTGCTTAGCCGCTCCTACCACGGACCACGGACCCACCCTTAACCGCTTTTGGCTATGATCGGAGAGTTTTGAGTTATCTGATTATCTGATCCGAAATCTTACTGGGACCTTGGGAAACTACAAGTTTATTGGCAGAAGAGGACCCCACCGCGTCGTTTATTTCCGTCTGAGCCACGCGGTCAGATCCCACATTTAGAAATCTCAAGGCTGAAGCGATTTAATTGTTGATGGCCACAGGTAACTGTAGTAAAGGTTAAAGAATCCCATTCCGAGGCGCGTGAAATTTTATATTATCTTATACTGGTTGTCTTCCTAAAAGACTGTGCCCCTGACCTGCGGCTTCCTCTTCAAATTGATATCCTTCATCAAAATTGTCCATGGAATTGCCAGAACTATAATACCACACCCGACAGAAAGTAGATGAAGTTCGGAGTAGGCGTAGGCCTTCTGGATAGCTAGCCTGGTGGGGTTTCCGATAGGATAACTCAGTTGCGTGGCGAGATCCTCGTAGATGTTGTTTAGATTCGGCAAAGCCGAGTCCGGGAGGTATCGGAGAAGAGCTTTCAAGTATGTGTTTTGCCAGATGACGGTACTGATGGTAAGACCCGCACTATCGCCAATAGTGCCAACCACATTTAACACGGCCAACGCTGTGGCGACGTGTTGGTGGTCGACAGCCGCTAGGATAGCAAGCTGCTCCACAAGAATGAAGGTTGCACCACCAATAGCGAGGAAGATTTGACACATAACTTGGTAGCCAACATGCATGTTTGGCTGGCGGAAGTAGATCATCAAGCCCTGTGCGAGGATATAGAGCGGAATGGCAATATATAGAGTCCACTTGTAACGACCAACTCTCCGGATTAGCCAACCTGTGGCCAGCAACAATACACCAGAGACCATATCGAAGATATTGACGATATAGTTGGAAGTGGTAATGGATAGGTCGTTGTTAACCTGCAGCCAGGATGTGAAGTAGTAACTCCAGCAATAGTTTGAGAGCTGGTAGGTTGCATCCAAGAGAACTGCACCAACAATAGTGCGGTCCGTAAGAAGTCGCCACTCGAACAGAGGCACTGGAGCCAGCCACCTTTCCCAAATCGCGAACAAGAAAAGAATACAAAATCCGACGACAAGCATGGAAATAATATAGCCAGAAGCCCAATTATCGGGGGCGTAATGGGCGAGGTCGAAGGGAAGCTCAAACAACACAAGACCAACAGTGAACAGGAAGACACCGAAGACTGGTATTTTAGATTAGATCTCGCCTTCTCTCATTGAGGATAGAAATCAAAAAGCAGAGTACTTACCATCAAACTCAATAGTCCAGTGACGGATGCTTTCGATCACTGTGCGACCACTCGGCCTCTTGATCCGATAGCCTTCTTTCTCCGCCTTATACAGGTTGTACTTCAGCATAACGTATAGCGGGGCGGCCATTATAGGAACGACGATTGCCCAGCAGCCAAAGCCCCATTTCCAGGACACTTGCTGGTAGAATTCGTTCGCAACCTTTGGTCCCGCAAATGCCGTGATAATGTATGGGGATGATGTAAAGGCATAGGCGAAAGCACGGTTTCTCAGGGTTGAAACGTCGGCTGTCATAACATCGACTGCGTATTCCATACCGTAGAAACCGGTATAATAAAAGACCTTACATGTCAGTTAGCACCGCACACTTAACATCATGCCATTTTTAGAACTCACGTTGGCAGCACAGTAGATCTCAAAGCTATTACAGGTCGCCATGAGAACCAAGCCGATGGTTAAACATATGACCATCAAGAGAAACCCTTCTGCACGACCCCATACATCCATCATTTTTGCGACAGGTAGATAGGTGGCAGCTGCAAAGACATCACCCAGAGCTGTGGGAACCGCCGACAACGAGTGTGCTTTGAATGAACTTGTCACATAGGGGTTTAGAGTAACGATAACCGTAGATTGAAACGCATTCGCAAAATAAAGGAACCAAATGCTATTGGAGTTATGATATTAGCGTCTGTCGGGACATTGATCATGGCATTGAATGCGCGACACAATTGAGAACCTACTTGATGAAGACTGCGATCAGCGTACCCCTCGTCCACGTCATCGTCACGGCCTCGACATCCTGAACACCATGCTGGGCACTCCCATCAGGTATCTCCTCAAGCACCACGGAGCTGGTTGGACTCCGAGCGCCACCCTTCCCAGCATCATGGCCTGTGTTCTGTGCGAGGAGGTCATTGTCATTGCCTTCAGTGGACATGCGGCGGAACACAATTCGCGCTCTTCGGATCAAAGGGCGAACACCCATGATGGTTGACAGTAGAAGGCAGAATTTGTCCAGAGTTCGTGCTAAATCAGGTTGGACCACATGTGGACACACAGGGAATTATTGCCTTTATAGTAAACAAGCACCGAAGTCGGATTTCGTATTTTCCTAGTGACTAACTGAAAACTAACTAGTCACATACTGCAGGGGCAGTTCATGGCCATGTGGAGATTTGATCCCTAGTGCCCTCACTACTGGCGGTTAACAGGAAAAAAAAAGATAAGATCCTATGTGCTCGTGCGTTCGTGGGCCGGCCCACGCCACTTTTCCTTGTCGATCGGAAATTGCTCATTATCCACGCAGAATCCACTGCTAAATGATTCCAATCCTATCAGAGAAAGCTGCATGATTAATTGAAATGGTTGGATAACCTAAATTGGAGAGAATTGGAGAGAATTTTACGTTTCAGCTAGGGTTTCACCCACAACCGCAATATATACCTTGGCTTCGCTTGCCCGAAAGTTGACCAGGCGTACATAGATGAAGTGAAATAAGACCTGTTTATGAAGGGATTTACTGAATAGTGTGTAATCGAGGGTGGGACGGTATATTTCTTTTTCTTTTTGCTCGCTCATGTGCCGATCCTTTTGTGATTTCTTCTGCGAGTTTCAGCCAACTCATTGGCCAGAGTATCGACTATGGTGACGGTGTTGTTCCCAAAGTACGGAGTACAGTTTTCAATATGTCCAAACACGAAGATGAATTAGGATCATCGCCAAAGCTAGTCAGTATAGTTTGGACTTGTTTATCTATATGTGACGATGTTCAGCTCTGCGCCTGATTCCCCGAGTCCACAGCTCTTCCCCCACAGCTTTCCTTTGTTCAAAAATTCCGCATCTAAATTATATCCTTCCGCGAGTATCGCCTAAGCCGGAGTATTTTCGTAGATAGCGTGTGTGGCTATCTTGTGGGCCTTTAGGGCGGCTCATCGTCATGCCTCGAGGCAGGCGCATCAGATTCCTCAAAGGATCGACACGGAAGTGGGTGCTCGCTCGCCTGAACAAGGGTAGAGTCAGCCTTTCCCAGAGGCATAAATTCAACAAAGTGTTGAGTCAGTTCATTCTTAATAAAAATGAGAGCGACGGAAAAAGGTAAATAATTATGGCCTTGTGTTAGTCGGGAAAAAGGAGAGCGGATTATAGAAAGAACAAACACTCCTAAAGGCGAGGGATCTGATATGTTCTAAATTCCCGAGGAATTGGGCTTCAACGTATTCCACATAGGGCCGAATGTATCCTTGCCGATCAGCATCCCGCGGCTGTGAACCAACATATACCCCTCCAATATCAAGCCCCACCCAGTCTCCAGCACACACGCAAAATGGGAGTAGTCGAAAGGAAAGGCAAAAAAATAGAATCTTAAAGCACAGTTGCCCTACATGTACGGACTCTCTGGGTCAAATCGATCAATAATACACCCAGTGCACATCGAACGAATTGGTACTATGATCAGAAATCAAGTGGAATATATTTGTACACCATCCGACTAGGATTGCCAGTTAAACTGCGCTCAATCTGGGAAAATCGCAGAAAGACCTGATCAGGGCCCCGGTTCCACTCCACGATATCTGCCTCTGTGGTTCCAGGGGGGAAACCATCCATTGACCGAAAAGCAGCAATGGGTCCAATGCGCGCCTCCTCTGGGATAAGCAATGCTGGTGGTATTTTCGGTCTCATGTTCGCATGAGCAGAATATGAACTTACGGCAATTTCGGGGCTGGAAATTAGTCCGTTTGTTGAATTCAATGCACCGAAATTGGGCGTAGGATGGGCTGCATTCATTGCCATTGCGTGTGATTCTTCTAACTCCATGATTATTTGGCCCACGCCTGCCCACATGGAGCACTGGTAAAACCCTTGTACCGAGGGTGCTTGACGAAGTAGAGCCAGTGCCGCACGTCGGGTATGCGGTTCGCGGCACCGAAGACTGGTGAACCAGAGCGGAAGACCAATATTGAGGTCAAATGTAAATGGTGGTTGGGTGCCATCTAATCGCACCGAGGCTTTAGGTGCAATGGCAGATTGTTCAACGATATTTTGGAAGTTCGGTAGATAAGCGTCGAACTGCATAAATGATAATGATGTGCAGGTCTCAAGCATGACATACAACATTTCATGATAACTCAACAGAAGAGCACCGGTACCAATCTGTTGCGGCGATAAGACGTCTTTAGCGCGAAGAACTGTCATCAACATATTAAAGGCAGTACGCCAGTTCCTCAGCCTGGCCGCTAGAATGAATAGTCTAGTATTGAATTCCTCGGGCACATGCGAGCCATCTGCCTGGAGTAGATGCTTGGAGAAAGTGCGTTCAAAGGATGGGATATCTATTGCTAGGAGCACGATCGCCTCTCGAGCAGACTTGAGTGAGTCAAACTGTTCCCTCAAGGCATCTCCAGTGTCTGGTAGTAAAGCGGTCACGGGAACCCCACCGGAGGCAAGAGCGAATGCTCCCAAGCGAATGAAGATCGGGATAATAACACCGTCCAGTAATGGAGCTCTATTCGTAGCCGCAGGTGCTACTTGGGAACGCAAAGCGGCAATCAGCTGGAAACCTTGATGATAAAGCTGCATTGCCCCGTCTGCATTTCCCTGGATGGCCTCAATGCAGATGAAAAGCACGCAACTAATCAGTCCGACAAAGGCGTCTACGCTACCTTGCTCGATGCGCTGGCGAACAGTAGATACCGAGCGCGAGTACCAACCCAAGACATCTCGATGGTTTCTAGTGAAGAAAACGGAATCCGGGGATTGTTGGGGACGCTCAAATAGCGCACTAATGGTGATGATGGCATCCCACACAGCAGGTTCATAGCGGCAAACCTGTGGAACAACAGTGCGCCAGAAATCAACATCCAATCCACCACCAATGGAGAAGGCAGCACATTCGAAATAGTAAGCAAATGCACGACGCTCTCGCCACACCGTGTTGGTGTTTGGTGATAAGGATAAGGGGTTGGTGATGACCGAGATTGGGGAAGAGAAAGAGGACTGTGTGTCTGCAAAGTCACACTTGCGACCTGTACTGGTGCATCGAACACAGCTAGGCTTTTCTTCTCCGCACTTGACTCGTCGAATTCTACGACACGCTCAATATCAAACCCTGTCTATGGAAAAAGGAAGCTAGCACCTACTTGCAAGTTCTGCATCCTAACTTTGACCTCAGGAGGACCCTTGAGCGACTTTTTGAATAGTCCGGCTGAACCATGTTGATAGCATTCTAGGTTTGGCTTGCGCCCAGATACCTCTCAGCGGGGAGAACGAATAATCATCGTGTGATGAAGCGCAGGACTCCACCGATATCGTCGACCGGGGCCGCCATGTCTGATGAGTAAGCATCCGGTTAGTCAGCTTTCGTATACGAACGTAACCAAACCCTCGAGAAAGAGAGGGCAAAAAAAAATTTATAACGGAGGGAAATATGGCGTATGAAGGAGGGTGTTTCGAATGTCGCCGTAGACAGATGGATTTGAATCCAAATTAGGATAATAATGAACGGAAAACACAATGGAACAGAAAGAAACTCTAGTCTAAGACAGGTAGCCAGTTCCCGCCAGCGAAGACAGCGAGGCCACAAACAATAAGAAACCCGATGAGCAATATCTTAGGTTGGCCCAAAAGAAAGGATGTTCATGATACCCGGATATGCCAGAGTATATGTTGTACATTACAGACGGGGCAAAAATGGTGAGCTCTTGGGAATTGAAGAGGATTATGTCCAGCGACACCAGAAGCATTGGTTCCCAGAAGCTTACTGGAAACGTAACATATACACCTAGCTGTGGATATGAGTAGGAGCGGGTGGCTCCCATGAACTGGATCTAGGTCCCGGACATAGGCAAATTATCATCACCATGAGATCGCGCAGCTCGTTCAAGCCATGACCGCTATGCGCAGGAATGCCATTGCGTTCTTGCGTCCCCACGGCCCTGGAATGAGGGCATTTGCAAAAAGATCCCGTAGTCAGCAGTCAAGGTGAGGATGAGGCCAATCTCTAGAAGTTGGAAGGCAAAACTGGATGTCGTTTCTCAACCAGCATTGTCTCTGAGCCTGGCAAGTGCCGCTGCGACACCTTCACTCATCTCTTCAGTTGGTTGACCTCCAGCCTGAGGCTCAGTAGGCCGTACGGTTTGCTCAGCTGCCGTTTTCCTGCTTTCCGCTAGGACTTCACGAAGAATCGCCTCTTCTTCATCCTCTTCATCCATATTCTGATCAGGTCTGTCATGCACATTCACGGTTGGCAGTTGAGCCTGGCGTTGTGTCGCAGAAGCCCTCTTCGTGCTCTCGACTCTGAAATCTTCTCGGACTGCATGGCACCATTGCTGGACCTTTTTCTCTCCCCAACCCGGCACAGCGCTGATCTGCTCTGGCTGTGCATTGATGGTATTTTGCAAGCTGCCGAAGGTGGAGATCAAACTTGCGGCATCAGACTTGTTGATACTTCTGGGAACCGTGACAAACTCTACCAGCGACTCTTTATAGGATTGGGCCTGTTGGGCTCGAATGGCAGTGGGCTGTGCGTTCTCCGAGGACTTGAAGAGCTCGAGATAATGCGCAGCCTCTGGTGCAGACCAACATAATATCAAGGTTAAATTGTTAATGATCGATGTTTTGGACAGTTCCCTGAGACTGTCTTCGTGGTTCTGTATGTCGACCATCACTAGTACGAGGCGGAGGTTGTATTTGCCCGCTAGTTGTTTCACTCGGGAGTAGATGTATTCGGGGTGTAGGCGATGGTATTTCAAGGAGAGGAACATTGCGCACGTGGTGGTGCCAACCACATAGTCCGCGGGGATGTCGGCATACTCCCAGGGTATGAGCTTTATGTGGGTTAGGATTGGGTTTCCCTTTTGTCGCGTGGACACTAGAATCGCGGAAGGACCAGGGCGGTTGGCAAGGGCTTGGGGTTTCGGTTGTTGGACTTTCGGTCTTGAAGATGCACCTGCAGCTGGGGTATCTGAAGGGCGTGGGGAATCCATCTCGGCCCCCAATATGTTGTTCCCAGGTTGTTAATAGCAGAGCGATTAATGGAGAGTTGATAAGTCGATAAAGCTATGGCTTATCTGGATGGGACCCACACCGCCTGGGTCAATCTGCCTCAATTTTCTGCCGCTAATTTTTTTGTTCTTCCTCGACCGCAGAAAAAAAAGACCGCTGTCGCAACAAAGCAATCATGGTTGAATTACACAAGAAACGACGTCTCTCGGACGCCGAGAGCCCCGAAATCAAAGTCGAGGCCACTACACCCGCCGCCGAGGCCTCGACCGCACAGAACAAGAGAACTCTTTTCGTCCGCTCACTACCCACCTCAGCCACGACAGAGAGCCTGGCAGAACATTTCTCGCAATCCTACATTATCAAACACGCTGTTGTTGTCTGTGACAAAGAGACAAAGGTGTCCAAGGGATTCGGTTTTGTTACATTCGCCGATGTCGAGGATGCGGAGAGCGCTCTGAAGGAACTCAACGGGTCCAAGTTTGACGGGAAAATCATTCGCGTCGACTATGCCGAGTCTCGTAAGCGTGAGATCGATGAGAAAATTGGACGCAGTGTCCCCACTGCCGCATCCCGCGAGACCAAGAAGCAGAAGGAAGAGGAGAGAGGGCAGGGCCTGCCGCCCAAGCTGATTGTTCGCAATCTGCCGTGGAGTATCAAGGAGCCCGAGGATCTGAATGTCCTGTTCCGCAGCTTTGGAAAAGTCAAGTTTGTTACCCTCCCCAAGAGGAATGGCAAACTTTCTGGTTTCGGTTTCATTACCATGCGTGGCAGGAAGAACGCCGAGAAGGCAATGCAGATGATCAACGGAAAGGAGATCGATGGACGTCAACTCGCTGTCGATTGGGCTGTTGAGAAGGAAGTTTGGGAAACTACCAAGAAGGAAGACGTCGACGAGGAGGAGGAGCAGAAAGAGGAGAAGGAGTCTGATGATGTTGAGACGGAAGATGCCGAGGGTGTTCTGGAGGAGCCCTCAGACGACGAAACCTCTTCCGACGAAGACGACGATGAGGACGACGATCTCGATGAACTAGACGACTTGGACGATGATGAGGCAGAGGAGGAGGATGACCGAAATGCCACCACAATCTTCATTCGCAACCTCCCCTTTACCGCCACAGACCAGGCCCTCTACGACCACTTCAAAACTCACTTTGGACCGCTACGGTACGCACGTGTGGTCCTTGACTACGAGACCGAACGCCCTCGAGGCACAGGATTCGCCTGCTTCTGGAAGCCCGAAGACGCCAACACATGCATTCGTGAAGCCCCCCGAGGAGCCGAAGCCATGGCCCCTAACAAGGACAAGCCTAAGTCAAACACCGCTATGAAGCACTCCGTCCTTCAAGATGACAACTCCGACCCCAGTGGTCGCTACACCTTGGAAGGCCGCGTCCTACAAGTCGCACGGGCCGTTAGCAAGGGCCAAGCCGCCAAGCTGGAAGAGGAGGGAGTATCACGCCGTATGGTCCGCGACACAGACAAGCGCCGCCTGTACCTCCTCAACGAGGGTACGATCCCCTCCAACTCCCCACTTTACAAGAAGCTCTCTCCCTCCGAAGTCAAGATGCGCGAGGACAGCTACAAGCAGCGTGAGACCTTCATCAAGAAGAACCCAGCTCTCCACCTCAGTCTCACCCGTCTCGCCATCCGTAACCTCCCCCGCCAGATCGACTCCAAGGAATTGAAGCAGCTTGCTCGAGAGTCCGTCGTCAACTTCGCCAAGGATGTCAAGGCGGGCGCACGCCACCCGCTCTCAAAAGAGGAGCAGCAGCGATCCCGTGATACCATGAAGGAGCTGGAGCAGCTGCGCAAGCAGAAGAAGATGGGTATTGTGCGCCAGGCCAAGGTCGTCTTCGAGACTCGCGAGGGTACCAAGGTCTCCGAGAAGACTGGAGGTGGTCGCAGTCGTGGATACGGATTCATCGAGTTCTTCACTCACCGTCACGCACTGATGAGTTTGCGCTGGCTGAACTGCCACTCCATGGCAGTTCCTCCTTCTGCTCAGGATCCCGAAGACCGGGATAAGAAGAAGAGCCTCGTTGTTGAGTTTGCCATTGAGAACGCCCAGGTCGTTAAGCGCCGTAATGAGCTGCAGGCTAAATCCCGCGAGCCCAGGCCCAAGCGCTCAGATGATGCCGAGGGTGACGGAGAGAGGGGTCAAAAGAGGAAGCGCTCTGATACTCGTGGTGGTAAAGGAAAGGATGGAAGAGACGCACGAGGTGGACGAGATGGCCGGGATGGCCGGGATGGCCGGGATGGACGGGACGCGAAGCGTGGCAAGACTGGAAATGGAAAGAGCCCCAAAGATGAGAAGGTGAATGAAGACGAGGACAAGGCCGCTAAGCGCAACCGCATTATCGGACAGAAGCGCATGAAGCGGAAGTCCCGTAAGGGGAATTAAAGGCGTGAATGTTACATGTTACTTTGTTTAATGTATAGGCATTATTTATCCCAGCAGTCAGAGGGAAGAACTGTTCTTTGTACCTACGCGATACCACCCTTTCGAAAATGAAAAGCATGGATTTGAGATTTTGATACTAGATTGTTGATCCATTTCTCATACCGGGTATTATAATATCGCACATTCGATCCATGTGAAGGCTGCTTCTCTATGAAGATGTAGCCATTAGGTGTTCTTGGCGCCTTCGACCTTGCCGACAATGTTATACCGCTTGCTGAAGAAAGTATACCACTCGTCCAAAACAGTCTTTTCCTTGTCCGGGAGGTCATACCAGTCAGGTACACAGTCTTCGGGCTTTAGAGAGGATGAGGCAAGTGCACGGGAGGCATCCTTGCCAGCGAAGACTAGGGGAAAAGAAACAGTCAGTGTGATTGTTCAATTTTGATACAGTGCTGTACTCACCCCGATATGAACCCGAGGCACCATAAGCCGAATTCCGGCTCACATCAAAGACGACACCCTTGATGGCGACCAGAGTCGGGCGGTTAGGGTCAGTACCTGTTGTGTAGTAAACATTAGCAATGATCTTTGAGCTGGGCGTATTGGAAATGGGGAATTGGGGAAGGAACTGGTGAGGGGTGAACGGGTAAACTCTCATACCGTCGCATTTGGCCAATTCCTCGACGGAAATGGGGTCGTCCTTGGGCGGGTCTAGCTCGACTGGCACCTTGGGTGTGAAACGCTTGGACTCATCTTGTTCGACCATTGTGATTGTTGGAGGTGAAGTTGAGGGGGAAAAACCATCTTGGGGTTTGGCGGGGTTTCCCGAGGTAGCCGCTTCAAGGCTGCTTACTGTCGGCTAGCTGATTGATCGCTCGACTTGAGCTTATTACGGGCGACTAAGCCTCTCATTGGATACAACCTGATCGCCGCCTTCGGCCTTTATTCGAGTGCTTTAGGCATCAAGTACCTAGGTAGTTACCTAAGTAGTCGGCATATGGTACCTCTCTCCCTCCACACTTTCTAGGCCTAACTTTGTATGGCATATGGATAGCCATATAAACATAGTCAACTTCGGCATTAAGATATACGGAGCAATTGATAGATACTCTCGTTTTGTCCCATAGTTAACTAATTAGATTTTGTAGGAAATACGACTCAGCAATATAAGCCAATGAGAGAGTTATGCATAGAGTTATGCATAAACACAACATTTAACCTTGCGTCACGTGTTGGCCATTCTTACATCATCCACATATATTACCTAAGTCATTTTTGAACTTCCAAGGTTCTACTTGGCTTATCTTAATTAACATACATTAAATGACTTGTGTAAGGTTGCTATAAAAAGAACCCCCTCGTCATCCTGGGCGCCAGGCACCAGAAAGGCAACAGAAAATCGGAGCCGTTAGGTTTGCGACAGGTAGGGTCCGTGGAGAGCACGGCGTACGAAACACCTTTTATTCCCCAATTCAGCCCCGTGTTGCAAGAAGTGCCCCAGCCCAGGCAGATCCAGGATTGAGTCGTTCCGGGTACAGCTCCAACATTTGCGAGTAGATATCTTCAGCATTGGGATACTCTACTGCGATTCGGTTGAAGTTTTCCAAGTACAACTTGGTCTCCTGGATAACCTCAGGATCGAAGGGCTTGCTGGGGTCACTGTGGCCTCCAACCACTGTCTTCGGCTTCAAAGCTGCGAGCTTATCCAACGCCCTTATCCACGCAACGCGGGCCTCTTCTGTTCCTGATTCGCCCAGGTACGGATGGGTGTTGGCGTATACACAGTCCCCTGCCACCACCAGTCCAATTGATGGAACGCACAATGCATTGGTTTCATCTGTATCCGTGTGTCCCAATTTCACCACCTTTAATTGCTCCCCTTCTAGCTCAAACTCATCACCACTTAGAGGCTCCGCACCAACAAATTGTTTCGGGAGTAGTCCAGGAAATAACCTTTCCCATAAGCTTGCCATCCTTTCCGGGGATGTTTCATATGCCATTCGAGAAACCACTTCCGGTGTAGCGATCACTTTGGCTTTTGGGAATTGTTTGAGGAGAGTGGAGCTCCCAAAGAAATGGTCACCGTGCGAGTGGGTGACAAAGATGGCGACCAATTCTTTCCCACTAGCCACAACCCAGTCCGTCAATTCCTTGGACGCTTCTAGGGTCAATTGAGAATCAACTAGAACGGCATCCTTCTCTCCGTAAATGAGTGTAGAACTTGTGGGTACCCATTTGAGATGATCGTGCCCTGCAGGACCAGTTCGGGTTGCGCTGTCGCGTCTGCTGAAAAAGACCTTGAAGTTGAGCGGCATTTTGGCTTTGATATACCGGACTGGTGGGGGTAGTTAATCAAATCAATGGAGAAAACGTCCTAGTTCAGTCCGACAGGTCGGGTCTTAATATACTATAATATGTGTGATCAAAATTGACAATCTTGGTTAGGGACAACAGAGTCATCACCTCTTGTAACGTTTTTGATGAGGTGATCAATTGGACATTTGACCCTCGGTGAGACATATACCTCGGGAGAAATACGATGAAATAATCCGATATAGCTTGCTCCCTGAGGGCACAATATGATTTGTCGGTGTCGACTGCTCCACATAAGGATGGGTCCTTGGTGGGTCGTGGGTACCCAAACAGTACAAACATAAGCAATATATGACATAGAGTTTCTGAGCCGGGCCTTGTATGATCATTCATCATCCATGAACTTTGGAGCCGAGTATACGCTTGCAACGATTATGCATCCAAGCTAGTGCTACGAAGGTGTGTGACTTCTTTGCCTTCGGCTGATTTGTGCTATGGGGAGGGTTGTTAAAGGACACTCCACTGCCTCTTGTGGGAGACAAACAGCCTTTTGTTTCGAGTTCATTGCACGTCGTCATGCCTCTACCTCGTCTCAACTCTTTCCTCTCTGGTGCCGAATGGGCTGCGAAGGGACCACAAACCCCAGCCCAGCGATTCTACGGAGCATACGCGACCGCTATCAAAGAATCTGACCTCACAAACCATGAAAAACACCAATTCTATGCCAAAGATGCGGTTTTTCATAACCAAAATGGCGTCGACTACTACGGTGCGGAGATCTAGCCATGGATCATCAAATTATTTGGCCAGTTCGCCCGTCTGGAACACGACTTTATTGCAATCTGGGAACTCGAAAATGATGACGGCACTGTCCATCTCATTGCCCAGGTCACTCGACACATTTGGGCTCCCGGTAGCGATATCAATGCCTCGCCAACTGTTAGCATTCCCTTGTCAATGGTCTGCGAGATAGGTTCCAGCACTGCCCACGGAGAGACTCCCGAAGGTCTACAATTCTACCATGTTTGGCTGTATTGGGATACCTACCTACTTCAGCCTTATTTTCCCAAGGATTCCATTGTCTTCAGTTCAGTCAATGTTCAGAAAGAATGACGGTGTAGCAAATAGCCTGCTTCTTGTTGGAGGGGGGTGTCAACAGGGAGAAGGCATTATTATACCGCTAGAGGGAAATTGTTTGATTGCAAGGGGCTCGGGACTCGGAACAGGAACCATGCTCATGCATCCATCTGTACATATGTCCAATGCATATTTGTGGTGGTGAAGCCAACGAAGAATGTCATCTCTATTCCGATTTGGCAGTAGTGAGCGGTTGTGTCGCAAAGTAGTCAGCAGTCAAACTCCTCCTTTATTTGCCCGACTATATTGCTAAGTGGGTGACTAGCATCTTTGAAAATATCTGCCGGCCCCAAAACGTCCGATCCCCCAACGCCTCACTTAATCGACTGTCGTTCCTTACAACCAATGACCCTTCATGGTATCTGGTTAACATAGGCAAAACAGCTAGTACACCCCCTTCACACAATACTCGGTCTATGTGCAACTATAAACACAGGACATCTTCTAACCCCCTAATACTTACCATCAACGATCAATAGCTCTTGCTTGGCATATGAAACTCTGCATACCATCTACTGAATCTCTTCTACTGTTTTGGTAACCGGTCTATCAGCCGGAAAGGAGGATTTGCGTGAACCTTGTATTTCTGCCTTTATAAACGTGGGATCGGCAAACAGAGAAAAGATACATACTTTGTTGTGGGCCGGATTCTGAAAATTATAGCATCGAAGGACGCAATTACGACTGGCACAGCAAGCCTATCGCTACCGCAAGGAGGCAGTAACCTCGTCTTTGAAACAACAAGTTGAACATCTGCAGAAACAGATTCAGAACCTACGTCGGACGTTCCTAGCATACGACCATGAAATAGAAAGATCCGGCATGCTCTCCTTTGATTCAGCTCTCGAAGAAAACCTACAACAATTACGCAATCAGTTTCATACAATTTCTGTCGTTGCGAGACCGAGTAAAGAGCACCGCAATTCCATTCATGAAATTGCATCAACTAGGACCCAAGCGAGGAAACATGGGGAGCACGCACAGCAGATACAAGATGATCTTGAGTCAGCCAGATCAAGGCTAGTCAATGATGGTCTCGATCCAGCTCCTCCAAGGTCGTCTCTTAACAAGGCCAACCCCAAAGGAAACAACCCACGAGGCAAAGCATTAGCCCGAAACCATTCATCCTTACGAACACCTGCCATGGAAACTGTCAACCATTCAGAACCAGTGCCATACGCTGTGGATGACAGTACATTCCTTAATATTCTATGCCCCTCACATCTCCTTTCTTCGTCCACTTCCCCCTTCCGCGAGACTTCTTTTGAACGCCGGTTGCATCGCGCCTGTTTGAAGAATGGATATCACTTGTTGGTAGATCCCACCACAGATCCAGACAATGTGAGCCGGATGTTCAGGCTTCCATTGACTCTGTCAACCCGAGATTCCATAGTCCAAAAGGTGAAAGGTCTTCTTGAAGGTGGCTTAGACGAAGCTCCAGAGATGTGGGATATGCCTTTCTTCTTGCTAGGGGGCGCGGGGACTCATTATCCTCGGAGAGATCACATAGGGAAACCTATCCTTCCTCCGAATGCATTGCCGGTGAGTAAACTTATCGGTGCTTTTGTACATAAAAATACAGACCCACAATCCTTCCACAACGATCATGACCTTCTGGCCAACCTTGGTCTCGATGGTGAGTGGCTTGATTCCTATGACGTGGAAGGCTATCTTAGGGAAAAGGGTATCTTCTTGAGTGCCGATACTGCATTCTGCAGAGTTCCCGCACGTGCATTCTCAATGGAGTCCCGACCTTCCGACATTATAGGTGCCAATGCTCGACATGTCATGGCAACGGACGAATCAGCCCACAGACATATGCTTCCTCATAACGTGGATCTTATTGAACTTCAATCAAGAGGACGCGGATCAGACATACAGGTATTATTTTGATTTTACCACCTTTCATCAACGTATGAACGACTGACTCATGTCAAAGTTCTCACCGGCACAGGATGTAGATCTACTCCGAAATTATTCCGATCCAAACGGGCCTTGGGTCCTGGATGTGGGTCTATTCATTGATCGTATGTCCCTTAGTGAATCCAAATCGGTTGCTATTACCCTCTGGCAAGAACAGATCTCATTCAGTCTGGCATTTGCCTCGGTCGCTGTCCTGCGTTTCGCCGAGAAGACGTCGAGCATACACTCCGTCTTGCATTGTGTAGAAACTTCTTGGATCCTTCCATGTGATATATTCATATTCACGGAATTAAGCCTGTGCCTGCAGGATGTGCACAGCTGCTGCATATCTAAACCTGTACCGTTGTCCGGTTAGTTTGTGCTGACAGCTATCTTGGACTGTAAAATATTGTTTATCAACAATGTTTTCCGCTGGTGATAATTAGAATGTTTGCTCAAGACATGTGACGGATACTCTCATGACGTCAAGATATACCTCACATGATAGGTGCACCTGACCTTGGAAGAGTTTCAAAACGTTCAACTCATCTGTTTTGGCTGCCTTTTGTTTAACACAAATGTCACGCAGTAGCACAATACAATACTGTTCTTCGAAATGTCGTTCTCCGACACACATCCACATCCAAGTTCTGTTACCGAACATCATGCTCATCAAGACCCGGATCAACGCCGGACCTCCACAGACTCTGAATTGATCCATCACCTTTATTTTGAAGATAACGATGGCTTCTTTCCACCAAGTTGGATCGGAAAAGTCTCACCACAGAGACCCTCGACCGAAAACTCGGGAGGCAACAACCTCGAGCACACTAGGGACAGTAACACAAGTGGCTACAAGGAAAGAACATGAACATAGTACAGTTTTGATTCCAAGGATTTATGTTCAATATAACGTACTTTAGTATATTCAGAATCGGGACTTGATTTACTGTTAGTCTGTTACAATAGTTTCGAAGTTTTTCTTGCAGGTGAAATCCTCCATTCTCCTTGGACCTCGGCAATTATCTCTTTCTCCACACGGGATAGCCGCGGGGACTATCATTGATTCATTATTATCTCTCTGAACACCCAGAAAATACTTTGGCAGTCCTTTTTAACATTGTCAGTTATATCGTGTGATTACTGCAATTAATGACCTCTGAATTTGGAGCCTCTTATGCAGATCAAAGTATTCAATCCAATGGGCGCACAGAGTGATAAGCCCCAATCTTCCCCCTCCCCCCTTCCCCCTTGGAAGGGAGGGGCCATGTGGGGATAAAAACGATGAAGGGCCGCGTTACTCTTTGATTTAGTTCGGCCTACGCTACGCTACGCCTATTGCCGTCCAGACCCAAGATTCCCACTAACTCGAAACAGGAAAATACTAGGAAAAAGAAAAAAGAAAAAGAAAAAAAAAAACTCTCATTCCTGTTAGCTTTCTCTTCTCTGCATTTCTTTTTCTTAAAAATTCTCGGTCTGGACCCCCTTTGCGCATTCATTTATGCTATTGCTTCGCTCTTTCCTGGAAATACAAAGACCAAGATGTCACATTCTCCTAACTCGGGGTATGGATCTCATACCCCAATGACCGCCGCCATACAGAGCGCAGAGCCCACCCGCCTCTCTGATCCCGAATCGAAACCTGCGAAGATGAATAAAGAGATGGAAGTCACCGAGAAGGACTCAGGCAGTCCCAATCGCGCGCCATCGCTCGATAGCGGATCAATGGAATCTACATACGACCATACCCATCGCAAGCTCAAGCCCCGCCATGTACAATTGATTGGAATTGGAGGAACAATTGGCACAGCCTTATACGTTCAGATCGGATCTGGATTGCGGACCAGTGGCCCCGCCAGTTTGTTTATTGGATTCAGTCTTTGGTTAGTATGTTCCTTGTTGTATTGTTTTGTTGACTGTATTGGGTTCTCGACCTGGGTTGTCCCGACTTTGCTACTTGGGACAGCATCAATGTGCGCGGTAAGTAGGTGAACATGCCAGAAATGGAAAAGAAATCCGCCAATGGACGAAGAAAAATAAGACAAAGCAAAGAATATGGAACCATACGACCAAACAAAGCCTCAAGAAACAGGAGTCGAAGTCTGTCTCCACAATTTCAGATCCCCAAGGATGTAGGACGCTGTTAGACCAGGCACTTCCATGCCAAACAGATGTATGAATGTCGACCAAAGCACCATTAGCCCTACGTCTGCCCATGCACCTGTCAAAAGCTAGTCGGACACCCAAGAACCCAACCCAGTTCATAACGCCCTTGCTTGTTTCCTGCCTACATCTCATTGAAGGTTCGCACTCTTATACTGTTCTCTAGGAGTTGTGTGATTTTGATCATCACCGTCTGTACGAACACCCCTATGCTTCCCAAGCCCTTTGCATCTTTCCCACCAGCAGCATCTCTCCGTGTCGGAAACCGTATCCCATATGATCCCAAATGCACCAACAGTTCAGCTTCTTGCCCTAACATCGACTGATCGCCCAATCGCCGCAAAATTTCTATCATCTTGTTTTCCCATCTGGATGCGTAGTATGACAACCCAACTTACATTTTATCTTCTAGGCTTGGCTGAAATGGTCACGTACCTGCCTATCTCTTCACCGTTCATCCGATTCGCCGGCCGCTACGTCGATGAAGCTTTAGGTGTTGCCGCTGGGTACAATTTCTTTATTTTCGAGGCGGCCCTGGTGCCTTTCGAGATTGTCGCCGTCAGTTTGATTATTAGATACTGGACCGATGTGATTCCCGTCGCAGCCATGAACGTGGTCATCATTGTACTCTATGGGTTTGTCATCTTCTGCGATCCACGCACGAAATCTTGACTAATATACGGGAAACAGAGTACTCAATCTCTTTGCTGTGAAATGGTACGGTGAAGCAGAGTTCTGGCTCTCACTAGGCAAGGTCTTGTTGAGCGTAGGCCTGATCCTATACACATTCATCGTCATGCTGGGCGGCAACCCGCTCGGCGATCGTTTTGGCTTCCGCTACTGGAACGAACCAGGTGCCTTCAACGAGTTCTACAAGACAGGCGATACCGGTAAGTTTCTCGGTGTCCTCGCCGCTGTCATAACGGCCAGTTTCACCATCGCCGGTCCCGATTACGTCTCTATGGCTGCCGGTGAGACTGTTAACCCGCGCAAGGTGCTGCCTAAGGCCTTCAACGGTGTCTTCTACCGTCTCACGGCATTCTTCGTTCTAGGTGTTCTCTGCGTCGGCATTCTGGTCCCGTACAACGATAAGACTATGGCTGATGCTTTCGACAATGACAAGCCTGGTGCTGCTGCCTCGCCCTATGTCATCTCCATGGATCGCCTAAAGATCCCCATCCTGCCAGATATTGTCAACGCTGTCATTCTCACTGCTTCGTTCAGCGCGGGAAACAGTTACATGTACTGTGCCAGTCGCAGTCTGTACGGCCTAGCGCTTGAGGGCAAAGCCCCGAAGTTATTTACCAAGTGCACCAACAGCGGTGTTCCGATATACTGTGTCGGCGTCGTGCTCATCATCGGCCTATTGAGTTTCCTACAGGTATCCAACGGTGCATCAGTCGTGCTAAACTGGTTTGTCAATCTGGTATGAGCACTCACCCCAGTCCCGATTTCTTTCCCGTGGATCCAACTAATCCCAAATCCAGGTCACCGCCTCCCAGCTCATCAACTTCTCCGTCGTCACTTTCACCTTCATCCGCTTCAAGAAAGCTCTCGCGGCCCAAGGAATTGCCCGGGAAAGTCTGCCATACCGCAGCTGGTTCCAGCCATACATCGCCTACGTCGCCTTCGTCTGCACCACAACCATGGCTTTCGTCGGTGGCTACACCGTCTTCCTTCCCGGTAACTGGTCCATCCCGACATTCCTCTTCTCTTACACTATGATCGGCGTCTTCCCGGTTATTTACTTCGGGTGGAAACTTTTCCACGGGACCAAGTTCCTCAAGCCTGAGGAGGTCGATCTGGTCACGGGTGTCCCTGAAATCGAGGAGTATACCAGAGACTTTGTGGTCATACCACCGAAGTAAGTATACCCTCTCATCTAATCATGATTTGGTGCTAATAGGTTTCATAGGACTGTTGTACACAAGTGGTGCCAAATTATCTTTGAATAAGACTTTCATGGGTCTCATCTACTACTTGGGATAATACATGCCCAAGTGATCTCAGACCTATGGATACCTGACGTGCTTTTTTGGTGGATTATTATATCTACTTTGGACTGTAGACTGCACATGTTTATGACGTTAGAATCACTATGATACCCAGTATATTTATTGGAAAAATGTTTTCTTTTTTCTTTTTTTTTTTTTTTTGGAAAGAATATCCACGATTAATAGTCGTATTTGACATCAACGACATGTAACAATGCCTTTTATTATACATACATTCAATATAAACATACAGCGAACAGTAAGAAGTCTCACCCCACCCCCGTCAACACACAAAGCCATGTCAAGCTCTCCATGATATGTTCCTATCCCGATCCTTCCTCCGCCTTCTCCTTAGCCCTCAAAGCCTCCAACCGCTTCTGATTCCGCTTCCCAAGGACACGCAGAGTATTATTCTTTTCAGTCTCCGTCATCTGCTGCCAATTCCCAATCTGCGACAATGTCCCATCGACGTTAACAACCATCGGACCCAGATGATCCAATTTCACCTCCGTTCCGCCTGAACTCATGTCGAGTTTGATGCTACCGTCGCCTTGTTGGTTCGCGATGGGGTTTGAGGGGTCACTGGCGGGGAGGTAGAGGTTCTTTTCGGACTCTTGTTCTTGTTCTTGAGTCCCTTGGTTTGGGGTGTCTGCGTTCTCAGTGGCGGGATCTGAGGATGCAGCGGCACTGGAGTCGGAAGCTGAGCTTGAGTCACACATTGTGCGTGTTTGGCGCGTGCAGTCTGATGCTTTGAAGGTCGTTGTGCACTGCGGGAAGAGGATGCTGTAGAGTCGGGTGTTTGGGGCTTGGGTTTTCGCGTTGAGGGATGTCAAGGTAGTAGTAGAAGTAGTAGTGCCAGCTGGGATTGAGGCGCGCACGAAAGGATTGACGGATAGGTGGAGGAGAGCTGCGCGGTAGACTGTACGTGATACTTGCATGATTCGTGGTTTGTGGGAGGTTAGGTGGGCTTGGTGGAGGAAGGAAAATAAGGATTGCGGAGATCGGCACTTCCCCGTTTATCCCTGGTTATACGTAGAGAAGTTGTCTTCATAAGCTACAACATTGATAATGGAGGAAATATCTAGGAAAAAAAGACCTAAAGAGAGTATCTGAGAATAAAAGAGATCGAAAAAAAGACCACTCAAAAAGACGTCACTGACTACTGTCCGACTAGAGCAAGAACTCTCCACAGCCTTTCCAAGCATGTAGCCCCCAATTATCTGTCTTCCCTCGGTCAGTCGCAGAGAATATGCAAATTGCATCCAAGCTAGGGCCGACCGAGCATCAAATTATGTGTGCGGACGTACCGCATTGATATAGGCGTGTAGATGCCAAACTATCGAAACCACCAGTTGACCTACAAGGATATCAGCGACAGACATAAACCCTCCCAAAAGAAACATACTCACCGAGGCTGTAACACCCCCACCAACACCCTTAATACTATGCCACCATCCCTTAGGAATGAACAAGCCATCACCGGCACCAAGACATGCTTCAAAGCCAACCCCAGCATCCGAACCGACAGATACCGGAGTCCCCCAAACCATCTCATCTAGCAATGCCCTCTCCCTCCCCTGCATCATCTCCTCACCCCGGAAAGCCGCTGCCTCCCGACTCCCACTCTTCCCTAGCTGCCTCCTCACAGCCCCAAACACAGCCTGTCCATCCGCTGGCGCAAGCAGTCGCACAACCTTCTCCCCCGCCAGCTGGACAAACAAATTCGGGTTCGGATCACGGTGGAGCGGCGTGTACGTCGGCGGGTGTCCAATCCAGACATTCGTGTCGTATACATCACCCTTACCCGCGCGCGCCACCAGCTCCGGTGTCGGGAAATCCTCTCGAAGCACGGGAGGGAGGTCCAGGAGCTGGCATTGTGCTAGGTAGAGCCGCGTGGATTGGGGAGTGGTCTCAGCCGCGCGCATCCAGTCGAGGAAGAGTGTGAGCGGTGCGTGGAATTGGCGGAAGCTATGCGTTTCTGTTGTCCCTCTGTCAGATCCAGATCCAGATTCAGATTCAGCGTCGGTCGATGTGGATTCTGTGAGTTCGAGTGGGACGAACGCGTCGGCACCGTGTTTCTGGAGATAGTCCACATTCAGGCTTGCGACGGGGTTCGGTGTTGACTCCGAGCTCGCGCGTTTGAACCATTGTTTCTGGGCGGGGAGGTCTTGGAAGGTAGAGCGTGGGAGGATTGCCGGTTGTTCGGGGAGGAAGCATCGCTGCTGGAAGGTGTTCAGGGTGGCATTTTCGAGGATGTTTAGAGGTCGGTATTGAGAGGGTGAACTAGCGGAAAAGCTTCGGACGCTTGATCGGGGATTATGATAGAGGCATGAACGAGAGAGTCGCGTCCAGACTCGGATTGACCATGGCTTGAGCTTCATCCAGATCGACGTGGGAGGTGGAAGCTGGAGAGATATTTAAGACGGACCTCGGGAGACCCGAGATAGTGGATCTCCACGTTAGACCCATTCCCCTTATCAGTCTACCTAGTAGTAGTACTAGCACGTGTCAAAGGATATACATAGAAAAGTCCACATAAAGTATTCGTATAAGCCTAAAAAGACCAAGGCCCCATAAGTGGTTGACTATTCTTGTAATCATTAGCTGAAAGGAAATAGCGCATACATCGACAGGTGCCTCAGGCTGCCACATTAAAAGCTGAGGTAGGACAAGCCAGAAAGGAAGTAGATCGCAATAAATATGCCTGAAAACCGATGAAGGCCGAGGTCAATATGCACCCCCGCAGTTGTGAAGATGCTTTATACCCTTGCACGTCGAAAACTTTAGACAAAGGGTCGTCCATGTGGCTCACTATATATTACCATTTCACTCTTGTCCTCCCAGGTTTCACAATCACTCGATTGCCTGTAATTGGTGTTCACCTGCAACATGCCTTCGTCCATCGCCCGAATTCATAAGCGCCACATCTACAGCAAAGATGCGCACACCTACTACCCGGTCCTCATAGTAGGTGCTGGAGAGTCCGGAGTGGCCATGGGATGCCGTCTCAAAGAGGCCCTGGGAACAGATCAATTCCGAATATTCGACCGGCAGTCCGGTATTGGGGGTACCTGGTGGATCAACAGATACCCAGGAGTTGCTTGCGACATGTAGGTAATCCAAGTCTAGTGATCGTTTATTGAATAACTAACCCAGAAGGTAAAGTCCAGCCACACTCTACTCCTTCTCGTTTGCCCAGAAAAAGGACTGGTCCACACTGAATCCATCTGGTCCAGAAATTGCACAGTATATGGCAGATGTCTGCGAGAGATATCAAATTGTGGACAAGATTCAGTTGAACACAGATGTCAAGAAACTTAGATGGATCGAGGATGACGAAGAATGGGAGGTCACACTCTCTCACCTTGTCCCCGGAACCGGTGATTTAGCTCAGCACGAACGAAATCGAATCGCAGCCCAGGATGGCCATCACAAGATCTATGTCAAGACAGAAATTGTGCGAGCCAAGGTGGTCGTCAGTGGTGTTGGCGGGCTGGTAGAACCTAAGACGTGGCCGAAGGACATCCCAGGGATTGAAGACTTCGAAGGTGAGGTCATGCATACAGCTCGCTGGAACGACCAGATTGATTTGAAGGATAAGGATGTCATCATGGTTGGCTCCGGCTGCAGCGCCGCGCAGGTAGTGCCCGAGCTGGCCAAGCCAGAGGCCAACGTTCGATCCATTACCCAACTCATGCGAACTCCTCCGTGGGTCCAGCCTGATACAATCCCTCCTGAATATCTGCCCTCCTACGAGAAATGGTCACCTAGATTGATGACCCACGTCCCTGGACTAGCGTCGTTCATGCGAAGCGTCCTTTTCTTCATGCTGGAGAAAACCTTCTACGATATGTTCACGGACACTGCGTGGGGCCGAAGAGTGCGACCGCAGCGAGAAAAGAAGTTCTTGGACCACATGCGCCAACTTGCGCCGGAGGAATACCACGAGATCTTGACACCCAATTACAGCCTAGGCTGCAAGAGACGGATCATCGACGGCACTTGGTATCGCAGTCTCAATGCCCCAAATGTGGAGCTGACTACCCAACATCTGGCAAAGGTCAACTCGAAGAGCGTAACTCTTGGTCCGGGTCGCCACTATCCACCCAACAAGTCTGAAGATGCGGTTGAAGTTAGGGAGATTCCCGCTGATGTGATCATCATGGCTAACGGATTCGAAACCAACCAATGGCTGCACCCACTGAAGGTGATTGGCAGGGAGGGCAAGGATCTTGAAGAGGTCTGGGCGGAACGTGGAGGCGCCCAGGCATACCAGGGCATCGCAATGTATTCTTTCCCGAACTTCTTTATTCTTTTCGGTCCGAATACAGTAACGGGGCATAACAGTGTTATTTTCGCAACGGAGAATGCGGTAAACTACTCGTTGAAATTCATCAAGCCGATCTTGAATGGCCATGTCAGCTCGTATGAAGTCACGGAGGATGCTGAGCGGGAATGGACTCGGCAGGTGCAGGATGCGCTTCAGAAGAGTGTGTTCCGTCGTGGGGCTTGCTCTAGCTGGTATATCACTGCCGACGGTTGGAATTCAACCACATATCCGTATGTCTTTTGCTTACTAGTCGCTAATTGCTACTGACATACTATTCAGGTTCACTCAGATTCACTACTGGCTGCGTTGCACGTTCCCCGTGTGGCGGCATTGGACTGCGAAACTCACGAGAAAGGGACGGGTTTTGCTAGGTCTTCGGAAAGTTCTCCAGGGTTCTTTTATTCTTGGGTCCATCGCAGGCTTTGGATTCCTGCGCCAAAATCCTCAGCAGAAGGCTCAGCTGGTGCAGTCATTGCTGGCTAGGAAAGAGTGGTTGGTCTCAACGGTTTGGCAATTGAGGCGTTGATATCTTTTCATTCGGGTTTATTTGAGCGTTGTATTTTTTTGAATTGATGAATATCCCCGAAGTGAGATATTGTATTCAATTAACGACTGTATAATTCTTGTCAAGCAGTACATTGTGATATTTTCCAAGCACAAATATGCCCCGAAGCCAATGACCGGCCGGGTAATCCGATGAGTAAGCTGAATCTGGGGAAACCCCGCGAGAGAGGAATTTCTCCGCACTTCAATCGCCGGTATCTCTCTTTGGCTGCTCATTGAGTCGCTTCAATATTCTACAGGCCATGGCTTCAGAGTCACCTCATATGGAAATATCACCGCCGCAAATGGATCCCCGTGATCAGTCCATCGGTGCGTCTGATTCCAACAAGAGAAAGGCGGAACAAGGCAACGGAACGCAGGCGCGCACAAAGCGGAATCGCTACATCTCCATTGCATGGTATGATATGGCCTGACCCGGCACTTTTTTTTCTTTTCCATTACCTCGGTCACTTCAACTCCCAGCCTTACGACTGGTCGGATACGTTGTTTGCTTTCAAAATCATACGATTGTGCCTTCTCCTTCGGTACTTTTGTTGGTATAGCTGAGCTAACCATGGAATTTTCAGCAATGAATGCAAGCGGCGCAAGATCAAGTGCAATGGCCAGATGCCTTGTCAACGGTGCGGTCACCTGAATTTAGAATGTAAGTGTCTTTTAACTCTCTTGACGGCTCGCAGCTCTTGCGTCTGAGCTATTTGATCCTCGGTTTCGGGCGCTGACCCACCCGCCAGGTCGCTATGCGCCTAATTGTTGTAATAACAACTTCAAAGACTCGGAGTAAGTCACGGAATAGAAATCCGTCTAGCATTTAGTACTGATAACCGGGCTAGTGAGTTCCGGTCAATGACAGATCAGATCACTACTTTACAAGACCAAGTCAACAGCTTGTTCACCAATCTCAATGACCTTCGCACCCAGAGACCAACCTTTGACTCACCAGGATTTGAGCACCTCTCTCGCGACGGGTCTCAATCGGTCTACACTCCAATTCAAACCGGGCTAGCGAAGCCACGAGCCCGCCATCCACGCTTTCATGGCCCAACAAGCTCGGCCTTCAACTTTGACGTGGCCAAATCTAGCTTGCAAAATATGGGTATCACACCAGCGGAAGATGGAATCCCAGACGACTTGACCACCGCACATGTTTCTCCGACAGGCTCACCTCCTCCCCATCTTGGACAGATTCTTCAAACCACACACCCCACCAAGGATCCAATATGGACAATCTCGCGTGACGAGGCAATGCGCCTTTGTAAGGTTTACGAGGAAGAGATTGGGATCATGTATCCTGTGGTGGATATAGCCAAGGTTATCAGCCAGGCTAATATGCTATACACATTCATCGAGGCTGCTACTAGGACAGGCTTCGCACAACGGGGGTTTCCGGGCTCTGATGGTCTTCATGACGAAAGCTCAATTATTTTGAAATTGATTCTCGCCACCACGCTGGTCGTGGAGGGGGGCGGTCAAAGTGAACTTGGGCACCGGCTCTACTTGGATGTCAAGCCATTTGTAGAATCAAAATTGTGGGAGTCTCATACCATCAAAACTATTCAGCTCTTTGCTATTGTGGTAAGTCCATGTCTCTTCAAAAGCCGCAGTCAACACGTCTAACTCTGTTTCCCACTCCAGGCCACATACCATTACCATACAGATGATGATGCCATGGCTTATCGGATTATTGGGTTAGCGGCACGGATGTGCCTAGAGATGGGATTGCATCGTCGGGATGCTATGTTGAAATCATTCCCAGTCGAGCAGCAGTGGAGCGAGATCACTCGGCTATTCTGGTCAGTCTACAGCTTGGACAGACGATGGAGTTTAGGAACGGGGTTACCTTTCGTAATTCAAGACGAGGATATTGATCCGAACTTACCAGAACCTGTAAGCCTCCATACCTCTCGCCACACAGTTACCTTTATTAACTAGCGTCTGAAAACTACAGGATGCATCGCTGCCTTACCTGCGCTGCATGGTACTATATAACAGGATCAGCTCTAAGATCTGGTACTCTGGTTTGGGCTCCGAGGGCACCACTGATATCCGCCGTGATGAGATTGGATATCTGGATTATCAAATCCTCCAGTGGTACAAGCATGTTCCAGACGAGCTCAAGTTCTATCCCGTCGATTCCCCCAAGAACGGCGAAAGCGCGAACAGAGGCATGAGGCGACTCAGGGTTCTCTTGTACCTGCGGATGAACCAGCTGCGCATCCTGATTTATCGCCCCGTGCTCCATTCTGCTGCCAGTATTGCCGAAGATCGAGGCCATGCCCAGACTGTTGTGGAGGTAGCCAAAGATACGGTCCGTGTCCTCACTCGGCTGAACCAGGTATCCGATATCTACCGGACACAGCAAATAACGTTCAACTATTTCCTGGTTGCTGCATTGGCGGTACTATTTCTAGCAGTGTCCCATGCCCCGGTCGACTTCAACCGACAGGTGCGTGACGAATTCTACATGGCGCTCGACCTGGTCAACGGGTTCAGTACCAAGTCCTACGTCTCCAAGCGGTTATGGAAGACAATTAAAGGTTTACGCAAGATCGGAGAGAAACTTGGCGTTCTCGCCCGTCCTTTTGGACCGGACTCAAGTGATGCTCATTCAAGCGCTGCGGTAGCCATGGCTGGACTCGCGGGACATCCAATCCAGGACCTGTCTATGTACGAGTCCATGAACGGTGGGAACGAACTTGGTAATAGTCCTCTCAATGGACTCCAAATGAGTCAAGAGTTGACAAATCTGTTTGAGGCTGTTGGCGCTTTTGGTAATTTCATGCCTAACCCTTCCAGTGATGGTCTTGGTGGCTTCGTTGGGCCGGATGGGGAAATCCAGAACACTGGTGAGGGTTTATCGGGGGTTCTGGGTGATGAAGGAGAGTTTGCTCGAGTGATTCGGGACTTGTTTTGATATTTTAGTCAATACCCAGGTGGCAACGAGACCAATATAAAGTTAGTTAGCTATGTCTTAATATAAATATCAATAGCCCTTGGATATCCAGGGCTATGTCTCCCACGTCAGCTGACACGTGACTCCTGCCACCCAAGCAAATCGAAACCCAGCATTAACTTCACTTTCGCCATCGTGAAAGCCTACGGACACACAAGAGCTGTCACAAAACGTGAACAGCCCTTGAACGCCCCTCCCTTTCTCCAACTGCCCACCGCCCCCGCCAACCGAACGGGCCTAACCCGATTCGACCAACACACCCAACCTCCAGGCTCGAGTCACCAATATTAATCTCCGACTTGTCTTTGAGATCTGGTAAGTGATTTGATAAATTACAATATGAAGACCTTAGGAAACTGATAAGATATTGGCGGGGTTCAGCTTTAGATCCAACCTCCTCCCGTTGATCGCACAATCCCCCCCCTCCCACACATTGCCATGAACGTCTAGCTTTTCGGCCCCTCCATCAACTTCAAGATCTCGTACGATTACACTCGAAGTCTTTCACTCCCGCCCTCCCAACTCCTATATCCTTCCCCGCCACAATCCAGCTCCTCCGCGTGACGAAATCACTTCGTCTTCGCCAACATCGCCGAACACCTCACCCCCCAGCTCGGCAACGTGTCGAGAGAGACAGGTTCGGCGTTGGCCGACGGCCTCGACAGGCTGGATTTGAGTCAACTGTCTGAATCGACCCTATCGTCATCTGTGTCCGCCTCATTCGACATGTCATCCTCGGAAGGAGCGCCGGAGTCCTGGATTTCCTCGTTTTGTTCGTTGATGGGCCATGAGTTTTTCGCAGAGGTGTCGGAGGACTTCATCGAGGATGACTTCAATTTGACTGGTCTTCAGTCGCAGGTGCCAATGTACAAGGAGGCACTGGAGATGATCCTGGATGTGGAGCCGGAGGATGACGAGGAAGAGGAGGAGGAAGAGGAGGAGGAGGAAGATGAAGACGATGCGCTTGGCGATCAGCCTGCATACAGAAGAGCAGGCGACCGGCGACACGCCCGGGTCGCAAGCGATTTGAGTGTGATCGAGAGCTCGGCTGAGCTCCTGTATGGGTTGATCCACCAACGGTATATCACCTCGCGGCCCGGCATTCAACAAATGCTCGAAAAGTACGAGATGCAGCATTTTGGCACCTGTCCGCGAGTGAACTGCAACGGATGCAAAGTTCTCCCCGTAGGCCGGTCCGACACCCCTGGCCACGAAACGGTTAAGCTTTTCTGCCCCGGTTGCATGGATATTTATACACCCCCCAACAGCCGTTTCCACTCCGTCGATGGCGCATTCTTCGGTACAACGTTCGGATGTCTGTTCTTCATGACCTTCCCAGATCTAGATATTGGGCCCCGTCTAGATGCGGCATTGTCGATGATGTCGCCACGAGGCGCATCAACGCAGTCTCGCACTGGCTCCCTGACACGCACCCCTGCAGGTCGTCAGGCACAGTCGCCCACACCCGAAAACCAGCCGTTAGAAATCAACGGCGTCCGGACACCCAACCTCTGCCCGGGACTCGGGAAGGGCAAAATCTATGACCCCAGAATCTATGGTTTCAAGGTCTCCGAGGTCTCGCGTGTCGGCCCGCGCATGAAATGGTTGCGCATGAGACCCAAAAACGTTGTCGAGCTCGACGAGGCGTGGAACCACGAGCACGGGGTGTCTCCACAGGAGGCACGCGACGATAAGGATGGCGATATTGAGATGAACCCCGAACAATCGCAAGATGCTGCCATTGCGAACCGCAAGAAAGCCCCGATGCGGCGCCGTCGACCAAACCTTGGCGCCTTAGTCTCCACAGATCCGATGGACGTGCACGGTAGATGAAATGATAAAAAAAAAAAAAAACCCTTGCATTCGTGGTTGTTTCCAAGATTGAGTCTACCGTATCAGAGGATTTGTGTCATGCTCTTGACTGTGGAATGATTGGTCCAGGAATTGATGACGATGATGACAGATGTTTGAGCTTGGTTTACTCCCGGCTTTGAATGGGATGCTGTTTTTTTTCTTCTTCTAATCTATTGGGCTTTTATTCTGTCTGCGCGCATCTTCCCTGGCCTTGTTTCATGGTCCTCTTGTTTCGATTACCAGGATCGATTTGTCTCCATTCATTGTTTTATTCTTCCTTTTTTTTTTTTTGTCCGTAGACTCAGCACATTACTTTTTTTTTGAATGGAACGTGATAGTAGTACACATTGCTTGCCATACTGTCTTTATCCCCACTGATGAGCCAGCATTCAAGGGCCCACCTAGGCACCTCCACATGTCCAAAGACAAATCACCATAAGAACGACAGAGCCTCAGGTACGGAGTACGCAATTCACTACTGATCTGCAAGAAAGGGCTGGCCCCCCACCATCTATGAGGCTCCAACTGCATATGAACGTTGTCCAACGAGCCTCGTATACACCGGCGTCCCCGACGCAACCCTATTTAATTTGAAATTACTCCGTACTCCGTACAAACTCAAACATTTCAAATCCTATGCAGCAAGTCCACGAGCCCATTCATGCGTTAACTAGCGTACTCGTCACTTCCATGCAAGACCTTGACACATCGGCGACGCCGACGTCAAGGATGTCCCATGCCCGTGGCACCTATGACAACAGTCTCGTATTAGCCCGTGCCTTACTCCGTACTCCGTATACGTTCGCACTTATCAATCTGATTTGTGATAATCACTCATAATTTAGCGTCAAAAAAGTACCGGGGTAGGGAGGGGCCCATAATTCATCATCCAAATTCGGATCCTTACGACACAAAGAATCCCACATTCAGTCTAGTGCACCGGACTGACGGACTGGCGGAACGGCGGCTGAGCGGTCCACCTGGGAATCCCATTGGGGATTTAGCGTATCTGCGTATAAAGGTTAGCGTATATGTATATGCATGTCCCCCCCGGTCAAGTATTGGGGGTTGGGCGCGTAAAACAATAAATTCGACACTTTTTTTTTCCTCCTATGAAAATGCTGAGATGGTGGTGTAACGCTGGAACTGTCACATGGGGGGGGGCATATGTATGGGGCACATATGGCATAGGCCAAGGGCGGTTCTTTGATGGTGACGCTTGTGATTCCCAAGGATTGGTGTTGTCGATGAGCTGTTATAGTGGGTCTTGGCTGATGAGTGCATTGTTTGCCTAGCTTGCTTTAGTTTTGTTTTTGACTCGGTTGTATATTGCCACGCTCTTTTCTGGTTTCAGCTACTGGGCTTGTGCTAGGGGTTCTTCTTCATGAGCCTCCAGCGCTTAGTTCCTTGTACCGGAGCATAGTTAGTTGGTCACGTATATTAGCTTCTCAAACAATATTTTATTGCTTTCCAGCCAACCCTTGTGAGCATACTTTTTTCCTATAAGCCTATATCTGAAAGAACGTGAGATGATATACAGTGAGATCTTTAACTTTAATGTCCCTGCATAATCTTATATCTTGGCACCATAATATATGTCTTGACAGTCGGCCGGAAAGGTTGATTCTCTTAATATGTTAGATCCAGTGGATGTTTGCTTACTATGGTCCCGATGTAGACGATATGTGGGTGCTGTTTCTTTTCTTGTTTCGTTGCCTCCCTCAAGCCATACTAGATCGAGGACAATAACCCTACTGAACTATTACTCCTGGTCAAGAGAATTTCTTTGCTTTTATATCCCACTAAGCCCTGGTACAATTTATACGGCAGCTACAGAGCATTCAGGGTAAACAAATGGGTGTAACATAGCACTCGAAATATTCCGATTGACGGTCGAAGAAGTGCTATTGTGTTTGGTACTCCGTATTATTACACCGGGCTAGCCTTGCAATAGCCAATTTTCGGTTTTCGGGGAGCGGCCTTATTGTTCAAAGTCAAAAAAAGACCCAAAAAAGGGAAGAAAATACGGGTTCTTCTTCGGGGGACTTCAATCCGACATTCCATCATCTGTGGTCTGTGGTCTACGAAAGTGATCCTGACAACACAACTAGAGCAGCTTTTCCTTCCCTAATCAAGCTATATTAACCGAGTTAGTTTTTTCATTTTCCTTTTCTACTTCTAAATAAAGCAGTGTAGTCAAATTGACAGCAGACAAGACATAGTGGCTGCCGCTTTCAACCCACAATATAAAACGCCCTCCAGGCCTCCGAGGGACATTGGAGCCAGGATTTAGAAATAATTAAAATAATCACTTAAAAAGGAGGAAAGTAAGAGCAGGACAAGCCTTTGCTTACAACACGGAGAGCTTATCCAGGCTTAGAAGAACTGTACAACATAAATAAGAGTATGATTATATGATTATTTTTCGTCCAAACATGTCAAGCAAACATTAACGCACGTTCTCCCTTGTCGGGGAGAACCCGAGCCTAAGTCCTCCTTCAATGAATACTCCGTCGTCTCAAATATCCATAATTGAAGGCTCATATGCTACTCCGTACATCGACAATACAGTATGCATACTCAATTAGTGCCACGCACTGTCAAACACTGGTAACTAATTACCCCAGAACAATGAATTGAACGATCTGGACCCGGCCCCCAAAAAAAGGCCAAAAGACGGAATCCAACTAGACTTCGACCGAGCTCGACCGAGTCATCCTAAAATAGTTATATGTAATATGTAGACACTAAACTAACCCATGTGTACTCCGTACTCCGTACTGTTGTACTCCATATTAATTTGGTTTCCCCATTTGTCAAGGTTAAAATGATTCACCCAAGAACTACAGACTTGAAAACTACAACATACAAGGTCAAAGACCTCTGTTCCCAATACTGCGGTCTCCCGTGCTGACTGCGGCCAGCCCCGCTGCAGAATGTGGAGTTCGACGGCGCATATATCCCTTAAGGCGCCCTATGGGTCTGGAAGGCGATAGGCTGACTCGTTCGTTATGTTCGTTATTGAGCATAAATTATCATCATTTTTTTTTAAACAGGATTCACATTCAGCTTCTTGGCTCCTCACATCTGTAGTGGATAATTCTGGGAACCTTGTTCCGTTGTACTTTTTCAGTTGCATATTCCTGTTTTTTTTTTTTTTTTTTTTCTTTCTATTTGTTTTATCTATATGGAGTTACTATCGGACTGGGGTTTCCTTGTAATAGTAGAACTATTTGTATGTGTGCTTTAGATATATCCCCCGCCCTTTATTTGGAGTACGGAACACGGAGGTACCGGGGTAACTATTCCCGGCGAGCATTCCTAAGAATTGTTTAATGAACATCGAGGCTAAGGCTGAGAGAGATTTTTTTTTTTTTTTTCGTTTTCGTTTCTCCTTTTTCTTATTCGGGCTTTCCCACCTCCATACCTCCTAAACTTCCTCGGCAATATTGACCGAGTTGACCTTTTTGGCTTCTGTAGATAAGGTTGAGGACAAAGCGGGTGAATTACTGCAACATGCAATATGCAACATGCAGAGAGAGGGGGGAACTTGGAAGATAATATTTCATTAATTATCACCTTCCTTTTTAGCCAATGCCAACGGTCCCTCTTTTATATATTTGATATATTTTTTGATCCACAGTCAGGGATGGGGGATAGGCGGGAACGCTGCAGACCAGAGCCGCCCTGATAAGAAGATGATGTCCCTAAGCTAAGCTAGGATAGGAAAATGAAGATTATTGGTTAGTTTTCGACTTGCATTTAGCCCTTTAGCCCCTGGCCCCTAGACTTCCATGTGGGTTGAAGGTTGAACGGGAAGAAAAACGACCTAAATTAAACCGATTTTCTGTCCCTTTCAGCCCCAACTTTCAACTAGTAAAATAGTAGACTAGTATACCGTTACTGGCCAATATCTTGGGTCATTGATATATATAATATAGTTATATATCACTCCGTGTATATATATATATATATATATATATATATTTTTCGTGCCATAGTATGATCTGAGGTTTCTTTGTGTTTATCGCATTTAGAGGAGTTACAAGACGGGCTATGCCTCTGAGACCTTGGAACCCGGATGTAAACAGTTCCTTCTAGCCGGGCGAAACTTCGCCAATCCGAAGTGGATGCGAGTGTTGGGAAACGCCAGAGTAGGCATGTTGTGCTTGGCTCCAGTTTTCGGCTTTAGTCTTGAGGGGGACCTTGGTTTAATGTGCTGTCCTTAGCCAAAGTACAAAATGCTTGAAAGGAGGGGGATGGAGGAGGAGAGGGAACCGTAGAGTTGAGGCGCAGCACAATTCTCGGGCCACCGTACCTCTGCGTATATAGTATACTATGTTGTATGTAACCGGGATAGTGGATTTGATGGGGGCGGAGGATATTGCAGATTGCATCATCCGATGGATTTTATTGGAATTTCGGGTCCATCTGGAAGGTAGCAATTTCCAAATCCTTTCAAAGCAAATTTGTGTGGCTGTTTTAGTCGAACTGGGCCAATATGTCGGGAATAAAGAAGTGTGTTGCGTGGGGGGGGTGCGGGATTGTCTCTTTCTGCAGGGATCCCAGTAGACTGGTCCTACTGGTCCTTTAGTTGACGATTATTGGACTTTCGGTGAATTCGAGAATTCGAGATTTGTTTCTTAAGTCATGGATGAACTAGAACTTGTCCGCTTTAAGGAACTGGTCTGTGGTTTGACATCTTTAAACTGTGTTTCACTAGTTAGGGTTATCAAACTGGGGAATATCAAAAAATAGATGGTACGAAGTACGGAGTCGATCAATCACCGTTGAGACCCTCTAGAACCGGAAAGAGATGGGCTGTAAAATGTTTCTGGCTAAGCTGAAATTGAAATTCGCGCACGGAGGTTTGGGGGCCGTGGAGTTATGCAAGTGAAGTTGAGGGTTTGGACCAATCACTATAGGAATGTTCCCAGGTTATAAGATTCTATATATTGTTGAGAGGTTATCAAATTCGA